TTTGTTTACCATATCAGCCAAGATGTTTTTAATGGATAATGAATACATTACTAGGCAAGCATATGTGGTTTGGTCTAGCCTGAGTGTCAAGTGTAAGACAAGGAAAATAGAGACCCAATATATGTATTCATGCATTCAAAAAAATACATACAGGGGTTGGCAAAAGTAGGTTTAATTAAAAGTACACAAAACACAGTTTATTCTTATATTATTGTGATTTATTCATTTATTATTATATTCTTTATTATTATTATTATTATTATTATTATTAACCTACTTTTCCCACCCCTGTATTGAGATCCTACTATGTACCAGGCACTGGGATAGATGATGAGGATACAACGGTGAGCAAAAACAGATATGGTCCCTGCTCTTGTAGAGATTATGATGTAGTGGGGTAGATAGATACTAATCAAATAATACCACTAATTAATGCATTGTTGCAAACCAGGTTAGGTGTTCTGCTCTAGAGACCACTAGGGGTCCCTGTGTCATTCACTCTATCTATAGTAACATCTTCAGGTTCATTGCTAGGTATATGGCAGCCAAAATAAAGGCTACTTTTCCCAGTTTCCCTTACAAGGAGGTATGGCCATGTGAACAAGTTCTGGTTGGTCAGAAGGTTAGTAAAAGTACAATTCCTGTCATGCCCTTAAAATGGGTGGGTGTGCCACTTTTCCTCTCTCTCCTTCCCACTGGCTGGAATGTGAATATAGTGGAGGGTCATCTCAGCATGGGGGAGGGGAAGGGAGTACCAAGGTAGGGGGACTGTGGGCTCCCCACATCACAGCTTCCAGACAAACTCTGGGCGGCTTAGTCACACACTGTACTGTGAGCAAAAATTAAACTATCTTATCACAGCTAGTGTTTAGTACTGAAAGTAGATTAGGTAGTTAGGGTGAGGGGTGGAAGAAGGAGGAATTGTGGAGCCAGCTGAAACCCACAAAGAATGTGTTTTGCAGGAAACAGGATGTTTTTTCTTGGACATGAAAGAGAACAATGTTGCACAAAGGCCAGGAACCAATCAGAGAGCGGCACAGATGGACAAAGAGCAGGCCTTCAGCAGATAGACGGGGCAGAGCAGAATACTTGGGGGCAACCCATGTGAATGTCCCTCCCCAGCGGGAATCCTGTGTTTGTTTGCAATAAACTCCTGCCTTGTTTGAAGGCCTCTGGTCTGTGGCTTCTTTCTTAGATTCCGTGAGACAAGACCCTGGGAAAAATTCCTGCTCACCGGTTCCAGTATCAGTACTACATTCTACATCTATACTATAACTTATACTATAGGTTCTATAGAAAAATTAGTTACTAAATTACAGTATAGCCAAATAGAAAATTATGCAGCCATTTTTTAAATGAAGTATATCTATATGTAGTGACTTGGATTTGAATTTCCCAAATTCAAATTAAAAACAGTATACAGCAACTTCATATTTAGAAATACACATATACAGATACATGAATATAAAGATAACATATATAGTATGATGTACATATGAAGCAAAAATCTGAAAACTCATATGCCGAATTATTAAAATGGTTTTAGGGAAACAGTATAAAGAAATGAAAATGGGAATTTCATTTGTTATTCTATGCACTTGTGTGAATTTGATACAATGAAATGCATTAATTTTTAAAGAGGCCAGCAAAGATTTTTTTTATATATATTTTTATTGATTTAGAGAGGAAGAAAGAGATAGAAACATCAGTGATGAGAGAGAATCATTGATCAGCTGCCTCCCGCACACCCCAAACTGGGGATCGAGCCCCCAACCTGGACATGTGCCCAGACCTGGAATCAAACCCTGACCTCCTGGTTCATAGATTGATGCTCAACCACTGAGCCATGCTGGCCAGGCCAGCAAAGATTTTTACTAATCTAAAGAGAAGTTCTCATTTTAAAATGAAAAAAGAAGTTTTAATTAGCGAACTGCTAGCAGACCCTGCTACCTGTTGTAGTTTTTTAATTTGTCGACACCCTAGGAAGAACAATTTCAAATTTAAAATAGCAAAAGCAAGTTAGTCATCTAAAAGCTTCCGGTTGTGTGCACCTTAAAGTGATATCGGGACAGGTGTATACTGACACAGCTCTGCGGGAGGAAGCGGGAGACTGGCCTGCACCTCTGGCCTCCAGGGGTCAGTCTCAGGGAGAACCGCCCTGGCTTTTGGGAATCTGGGCCTTGGGCTCATCTGAAAACTGGCTCCCCGCAGCTCTCTCTGCAGCGCTGCAGTCCGGGAATCTCAGCCGGGGCTGCACAGGGCCACCAAGTAAACCAACACAATCATGCCCTCTTCTCAATCCCTAAAACAATCAGTGTGAGGGAAACGGCTATTTCCACCCACCGTGGGGTTTTCCATAACAGGCTTATGATGGTGCTGCAAACTACTCAGAATAAAAGAAGTGCTATTTTCAGGACTAAAAACAATTACATTTACTTATTTGAGGACAGATGAGAACTACAAAGAACAAAGGGTGTCCTTTTAAAATAACTGCTGAGAGGTAGCACAATGTAATAGCTGCAAATTACTTGATAACTTCACAAATGAAATTTACTCTTCCACACGCAGCATGGAAATCCCCAGGAACAATTCTTGCTTGTAAAGCTCAACGGAGGGTGAAACCAATTATTTGAACAGGGCAGAGAGCTGAGAGGAGAAATATGAGATCATGAAATTGTTCGGGTGCAGGGAAAAGTTTGGCTCCATAAACTTTTGTTTTTTTAATAGTGGGACGCAGGGGCTGAACTGAAATCTGAGATCCACAAAGCCAGTTAGGACAGTGAAGACAGTCAAAGAGCAATTATGCTAAAAGCCCTAATCGACTCCAACAGAGAGAACACAAGGCTAATATCTAAGGAATATTTTTACAAGTTATTAACTCTTTTTTTTTAAGTCATTAACTCTTTCTGAGCAATGAAAGACCAGTAATAAACAAGAATTGAAAGAGGGATGTCTGGGGGATGAAGAAGGCCTAATAGATGGTCTCTGAAGATGATTTAACTTTGAGTGGTGGGTGTGCAGTGCAATATACAGATCTTGTAACATAGATCCACACCTTAAATCTATATGATCCTATTAAGCAGTTACCCCAATAAATTTAATAAAAATAAATCAATAAAAGAAACTGTGTGGACAAAGGTTCTGGAGTGGGAGGGACGGTGGCATATTCTGGAACACAGACAGCAGGGAGAGGGAGATGCAGCTAGAAAGGGAAAGGATGGATAAGGCCCAGCAGGCCCTCCAAAGATGCCAGCTTTATCCCAAAGGAATCAAAAGCCCAGGAAGGCCCTTATTTGCTCTTGTTTTGTTTTATTCCATTGGCCTTGTGACATGACTGGGCCTGTATTTTGAAAAGCAGGAACTGCCTCTGTGGAGAACACTTGGCCTGAGGCCCCTGGCCAGCTGCAGGAAGATCAGCCAGGAGGCAATGCTGTCACCTGCCCCAGAGCAGAGGCAGGAAATGGAGAAAGGTCGGCTAGTTCAAGAGATTTCATTACCTGTGTTTTATGGGCTGAATCATGCCCCCGCCCCCCAAATCATATGCTGAAGCCCTATCCCACAGTACCTCAAAGTGTGTCTGGATTTGGAGATGGGATCTTTAAAAGGTGACTAAGGTCATATAGGTGGGCCCTAATCTAATATGACTGGTGTCCTTAAAAGAAGAGGAGATTAACACATACACACACAGAGGGACACCGTGTGAAGACAAGATTATCTACAATCTAAAGAGAGAGGCCTCACTGGTGCAGCCACTGTGGAAAACAGCATGGAGTTTCCCCCAAAATTTAAAAACGGAACTCCCATTTGACCCAGTGATCCCACTCCTAGGAATATATCCCAAGAAATCAGAAACACCAATCAGAAAGGATATAAGCACCCCTATGTTCATAGCAGCACAATTCACCATAGCTAAGATTTGGAAACAGCCTAAGTGCCCATCACCAGATGAGTGGATTAAAAAATTTTGGCACATCTACACAATGGAATACTACACTGCTGTAAAAAGGAAGGAACTTCTACCTTTTGCATCAGCATGGACGGACCTGGAGAGCATTATGCTAAGCCAAATAAGCCAGTCGGAGAAAGATAAACATCACAAGATCGCACTCATTTGTGGAATATAATGAACAACATAAACTGATGAACAGAAATAGATCCAGAGACACAGAAGCATCAAACAGTCTGTCAAACCTCAAAGGAAAAGCCAGGAGGTTAAGAAGGATGGGGTAAGAGATCAACCAGAGGATTTGTATGCATGCATATAAGCATAATCAATGGACACAGATAGTAGGGGGGTGAGGGCATGTGCTGGGGGTGGGAGTGGCTGAGGAGAGATCAATGGGGGGAAAAGGATACATACTAGTATGTAATACTTTAAACAATAAATAACTTAAATTTTAAAAAAAATAATAAAATAAAAAAGAAAGAGAGAGAGAGGCCTCAGAAGGAACCAAATCCACCAACACTGACTTCAGATTTCTGGCCTCCAGACCGTGAGAAAATAAATCTCTATTGTTTAGGCTACCCACTCTGTGGTATTTGTTATCGCAGCCCTAGCAAACTAAAACACTGTGCAAAAAAAAAAATAATTAAGTGAAGAATAAAACCTTTGAAAAATAAAAATATACTTTGTGGGGAAGAACGAGACTTGGTTGGAAAGTCTGTAAGGAGGATTCTCCGAAAGGTCAGGGGCCTCTAGGGAAACCTTGTCAAAGGCGGCAACCCCTGCCTTGACTTTTCCAAATAAGTCCAAGCCCCTGGGTGTTTTACTGGAATCTCTATGTTTAGTCTTTAGACACAACCTTGTAAAAGCAGATACTTTCTCAAGGATACTTACCCTGCCGACTGTATCTGGAGGTTAATTTGAGTTCAAGCTGTTATTACAATAAAAGCCTAAGGAAGCAAGCTGTTTGGTGCGTATAGCCAAGCAGTCCCTTAACCTCTCTTTCACAGAAACGAGTGTCAGACTAATCCTTTCATCCATCACTCAGGGTCTGCGGTCAGTCCTGGCACATTAGATTTATTCTAATTGAAAGTAGGGTGGTGTATGATGGTAAAATTCAAACAAAAGAGCATTTCTTCAGTATTCCCAGCAATGGCTTCCACAACACATCTGTATTTTCCCTAAAATGAGGAATAAGAAACACAAGTAATATAAAATGCTATGTGCTTTTATTTTCAAAGACTGTTTTTATTACTAGGAGGAAGTCATTTAAATTGGATTGGTTATCATTTTCTCAGTTTTCTAATGAGATGAAATTTTGTGTCTTTGAATTCAGCAGACTCAAAACTCATTTATTTCCCAAGTATGAAAATGTTTTTTAACAATTTTTGAGACTAACCTATGAGATTTTCAAACACTAAATATCATTTGTAATCAGTAAAGAATATGCATTGTTAAAGTTTATTTTTAAATATTCACCCAAAGTGAAATGTGCAAAATTTTCATTGCTAGGTATCTAATGCAAACATCTAAAAGCACATGGTAATTATTCATAGAGGCAGCTACAGAGTTCTTACAGTGCTTTCACCCAAAAGTCATTCAACATATTTACAGTGAGCATTTGCATTACTTTTAGCCGTGTATGTTAGAGGAAAAATATGATGTGAAAAAGAGCTTTCTTTCATGTAACTTTTTTATATTTCCATATTCTTCAGAAATAAGAAATGGGAAAACACCCAAAACCAAATTAAAGTAGGGGAAAATCTTGACTATTGATTTTTTAATATATTTTTTTTATTTCAGAGAGGAAGAGGAGGAAGAGACAGAAACATCAATGATGAGAGAGAATCACTGATCGACTGCTTCCTGCACGCCCCCCACTGGGGATCAAGTCAGCAACCAGGCAGGCATGTGCCCCTGAGCAGAATAGAACCCAGGACTCCCCCAGTCCACAGGCCAGTGCTCTACCCACTGAGCCAAACCAGCCAGGGCTTGAATATTGATTTTTTTAAGTTGCAAACTGCTTATTCAAATTCTTCACACACCTATTACTGCCAAAGATTAATAAAGGACAAAATGACTCTTAGACAATACCTTAGAGAACAGGATGCCCCTGTAGGAGAAGGACACTGTTGTATTCACAGTCTCTGCAAACAAAACACAAAGAACGGGACATCACTAAGTGACTTGTTTGGTAGTACAGCATTCACCTTTGACAATTCTACCACTGGCAGCAGCACTCCCAAACAAAACTGTAGAGAAATAATGTCTTATCCCCTGGCTCCCATTCTCCTGGGGCTCCTCTCCCACCACAAGCCTCTCTCAGGACCAGCATTAGTGGATGCAAACTTTTAAGGCCCACTGGTCTCAACGGTGAATGAGCGATGAACAAGCGAGTGCTAATATGCTTCATCCCAAGTAACATATGTGCATATTTAATACTACTGCTCCTTCAGCAGGGTCTAATAGAGAAGGACAGTTACTTTAAAAGCAGATATGTCTGATACTAATTCAAGTCCCAAACTTTCAAGGATCTCATGATGTTTCTTTTTTTTTTTAATTTAGGAAGATTTTAAAAAATATTTTTAATTGATTTTAGAGAGAGAGGAAGGGAGAGGGAGAGGGAGATAGAAACATTGATGAGAGAAATATCACAAGGACCGGCTACCTCCTGCACATCCCCTGCTGGGAATCAAGCCTATAACCCTGGTTATGCGCTCTGCTGGGGAATCGAACAGGCGACCTCTTGGTGCATGGGCCACTCAACCAACTGAGCCACACCAGTCGGGCAGCATCTATGTTTCTTAAATCAGAATGTCCTCAGCTCTGGGCCCATATGTTAACTGCCAAATGGACATGTTTATTTGAATGTTCCAAAATTACCTTGAGCTCAACATACCCAGAACAGAACTCATTATCTTTAAGAATTTGCCCCTTTGTTGGCACTAGAATTCCCAATCCCAATAAATCTTATTAGTCTCCATTTTATCCCCATTATCACAGTCTTAATGCAGACCCTCATTACTCTGAGCCTAGGGTACCACCAAACTTCCTAATTTGTCTCTACTTCCCTTCTTCTGAGGTAGAGTATAAAGAACACTGAAGGTAGCCGAAACCGGTTTGGCTCAGTGGATAGAGCGTCGGCCTGCGGACTGAAAGGTCCCAGGTTCGATTCCGGTCAAGGGCATGTACCTGGGTTGCAGGCACATCCCCAGTGGGAGATGTGCAGGAGGCAGCTGATCGATGTCTCTCTCTCATCGATGTTTCTAGCTCTCTATCTCTCTCCCTTCCTCTCTGTAAAAAATCAATAAAATATATTTAAAAAAAAAAAAAAAAAAGAACACTGAAGGTAGCTCTGCAGCAAAATCTAGTAAGTTTCCATGAAAAATAATAAATGTAATGTTTAGAAAAAGAGAACCATAACCGAGGGTAAATATACAAATATTATCTGAACAAGGTAAAAATTCTAATATCCCTGCAAACACACGCAAGTGTCATCTTAATAATAACTCAATAACATAATTGTAAAATGTCCAAACTGCTAAAAGTAAAAATTTTAAATGGGAATAAAGAGTTATTATCAGAAAAGGAACTTCACATTTTCAGTGTATGTAATTTTCAGAACATTCTCATAAACTATTCTATGTTATTCTGAGAGTAACATAGATTAAATGCTTACCTCCCTTTAGAGCTCTACAAAAAGAATAATCATCATCAGATCCTCGGCAAATGACCTCTTTGCGCATCGGAAAATTCACAGTTTTAAAAGATAAATACAGGTTGAAATATAAATTTTTTATGTCTCTTCCTTAAAAAGAAAAAAATCCCATTAGTCCCTCAAATAAGAGATTATTTTATAAATAATAAATATTTATTATGTACTTAAAATATGTTCTGTGCTTTTGCAACATAATTTCATTTAATCTTCACAACTATCTATAATGTGGGTATTGGGATCCTTATTCTGTAGATGAGAAAACTGGAGTTTTGAGAGGGTAACTAGTGGATTGTAATCAAATAGAATATTCCACAGTAAGAATTATATGCTATGCCTAAAAATAGAGACAATTATTTTTTTAGAAAACTATCAAATGAAGATATAAAATTTTCTGTTCTAGTTACAGTTCTGCTAGGAAGTTCAAAGAAAAGAAAGGAAATAATGATAATCAACTCATGCCTACTTTTTAGTAGTTTTGATGAAAGATTTCTTAGAGGATAAAATGAAACCTTTTGATTAAAAATTAGGTGTATGAGCCATTTATTATTTCCTCATGGTCTCCCTATTATCAATTAACATGAGAAAAGCCAGTAAACAATGCATTTTGCTCAATTCTTATATTATTCAGTTGGCCCAGCTGGGAAAGATGTATGTTGGGGGCCAGATGTAAGCTGGCAAGGTCCTTGCACCTGAAGGGGCTAGCAAGGCTGGGACCCTTACCCACACAGTTTTCCCAGACTTTTTTGGATGGTGATTATCAGTAGAATGAGAGAAACATTTGTAGAATGAGAACAGCCTTTCATAGTTACCAAGAAGTCTGTAACTATTTACTGAGATATGCTGTACTGAGAACTTGTCCTTCTGCTGTGTCTCTCCCTTAGAGATTAAGAGGAACAAAGAATACATTCCTCTTGACAGACCTCCTCCTATTCAGTGTGTTGGGTATAATTAGGATTGTATAGCTAATAAACTTGCTTAAGTTCATCAAGAGAACTGGGGTCCTCCCGACCCCGCTTTACTGTCTTTCTTTTCTCAATTCCCACCTCCCTGCCTCAGTCCGGCTCAACCCTGTCAGGCTGGCCCTGGCAGATGTACAATTTTTTTATAATGAAATAGTTTATTGTAGCCACCACCTCATTGAAAATATTTTCCTAATAAGGTCACCAGGGCTCATTGTAGCCATAACCAAAGGAAAAGTTTTCCAACCTTAACTTGAATTTGATTGTGGGCAACAGAGCTGCCAGCTCCTCCTCAAAACTCTCTCCTTGGTTTGGTGTCAGTGCTCCCACTCTCTCTGGTTGTCCTTCAACCTCTCTAACTCCTCGTCAGTGTAGTTCATTGACTCCCCTACCTAGGGTTTCTATCCTCAGTTTTCCTCAATATTTACTCTGCGACATAGGATACTAATTCCTAAATCATCATCTTTAGTCTCAACCTTTCTCCTAAATACTGTCTCATATATGCATTCAATATCTCTATTCAAATGTTGCTCATCATCTCACCCTATAGATCCTAAATTGATTTCCTCATCTTCATCAGCAAATCAGCATTAGAATTCCTAATCCCAGTAATCTTACTAGTCTCCATCTCAGCCCCATTGCCACAGTTGTTGTTGTTGTTGTAAGTATATTTTCCTGAACAACCCCCACTGGGGATGTGCCTTCAACCAAGGTACATGCCCTTGACCAGAATTGAACCTGGGACCCTTCAGTCCGCAGGCCAACGCTCTATCCACTGAGCCAAACCAGTCAGGGCCCATTGCCACAGTTTTAATGCAGGCCCTCATTACTCTGAGCCTAAGTACCACCAAACTTCCTAATTTGTCTCTACTTCTCTACTTATGGGGTAGGTATAAAGAACATAACAGGGTCTGCTTCTAACTGTGGTCCCATGGTCCAGTCCATGGACTTTAGCCTGAACCTCTCCAAAAACATGGATGTGGGCAGAAGCTGAAGAGCTGTTTTCATGAGAAATTCCTGAGACAGACACATAGCAGTACTGCTGGGGTACACAAAGACAAGGCAGGACAAGAGACCTTCTTTCATTGCTGCATGGAACACAGCATGTACCCGGTCTCCACTGACACCAAGAAAGGAAGTGATGTTTTGATATATCAATGGTCTACATCTTGAGAAGCTTCTTGTCCTTGGACAACATTGTGGTCATGTGAGGCACATGACAAATAGTCAAGGTGAGATACCACTTGCATGGCTCAGCAGGCCAGGGATATTAATGTAGATGTTGGAGTGAGAGATAACCTGGTAGCTGTCATGTGGTAACTAAGAAGACTTTTTTTGACCTCACCAAGAACTACCAAAAGTAATTTTCAGGGAGGCTTATAGTCCAGCCTTATTTGTCAATCAACTACTGGTACACAAATAATTTACTAGCAAGGTTATAAAGTCTCAAAATAAATAATATCTATTTTTTTTATTCAATTTCTACTTACAGCTCTTACTGAATAGAAGTAGAGATAGCACCATAAAAACAAGGTTGACTTCTATAATGTGGCCCCAGACTTTACACAGAAATTCTAGTATATTCTAGGGAAACTCAGATCATAATTACAAAATTCTATAAAAATATAACTGAATAATTATCTTGTTAGTAAATTAACACAATGCTATAAATGTCATACTTAGTAAATGATTAGGGTATCTGTGGTGGCCACAAAGGTACACTACTCAAACCTTCCTTCCAAAGACCCTGCTGGCAGGAAGGCAGTTGGCAGACAGCCCCCAGCTGCTGCACCTTCATATCCATCTCAACCAGCGGCCAACGTCCCACAGATCGCTCCGCTAATGACCGAGCACTGCAAGGACACAGAGCCAGCCTACTCCTGCCTGTCAAGGCACACGTGAGACAGGTAATCTTTGCTCTAAGTCTCCCCATTGACCTGGCTGACAGGCTCTCAGGGATGCATTTTGGTCTGATGACCATGCTACCAAATTCTCCTTCCTTTCTTCTCTCATTTCAAAGGTATCAGATCTGCACCTCAGTCTGAACCCTCTCCTTGCCTGCTCAGGCATCCTCTTCCCTTTATTGTTCACTAGCATTTCCTCCTGATTAATGTCTTATATGCCTAATTCCTTCTTGGAATCTGCTTTTCAGAGAACCCTCAGCAATGCTATGTTGTATTATTACTACTTGGATCTGAAAGGATACAACTCACTTCCTGTGTGCAAGGACAAGAGGTTTGCTTGAAAATTAGGTCACTCGTTATGTCATATATAATCACTCTGCCAAACATCTAGGGATAAAGCACATCACATAGACCAGAAAACAAAATCTGAGAAAAGAAGAAGAAATTGTAGAGCCAGGCAAAAATTTAGGGATAAAAATATATTTTACTCTTGGCCAAGACAATGGAGTGAATAGAGTTGATTGCTCTTTGCTCTGTGTTATCACTCAGCCTCTTTCACTTCACTTACCATGCCATATATCTATAGGTCTGTCCCTCCTATTGCCCTGGAAGATTCTTGAAGGTCAAGAGGATGTCTTATTTATCAATGAATTCACAGTACCTATCACAGTACTTGAAATATACTATGCATTTTTCAATGACTAAATGAATACAGAAACCAAGCGTCCAAGTGCAGGTTGAACACTTAATTTCAGAAATAGTAAAGCACAAGTTTATTGTCTATTATTTCTGGGTTCTCAGCTACCTCTTTCTTGTAAGCTAGAGAACTAAAACTAGGGAAATCTTTATCTAAGCTTACATATTTGAAAGCCCTTAGTAAACTATAAGCTCCAAATACAAGCTAGATTGTAGGTGATGATAAACAGTAATGGTGAGGAGGATGACGAGAACTGAAGTGTCCTGGGATCCTCGGGCTTCACACAGTGAAGCTGCCTGGTAAGAGAGGATAAAGGTTTTTGTGTTTTCCCAAACACTTGGATCCAGCCTGATGCTATAACCATCACCCAATTTATTTTTTACTAAATTGATGACAAGTAAAATCACAGAGAGGAAAAACAAGACAACACAAACAAAAAACATTGTCTTTTTTTTATCCCATCATCATCTTATTTTTTTTTTTTAGAAGTGGGGTCATCTTTAGGAAAAAATGTCCTAGCTTGCTCATACACAGATCTTTAACTAGTGGAAACCTAACTTTATTTATCAGTTGAATAGCTAATGACTGACAAAGGATATACTAATACCTAATAGATCGTTAGAAGTCTCATATTATTTCCACTTTTACCCTCCATACCATTATGTAATCTCTTCTCCATGAGTGTGAGCCTAGTGACTAGCGTCTAACAAATAGATAAAGCCAAGTTGATAGAGTGGCACTTCCATGATTAGGCTACCCAAGACTATGACTTCTGTCTTGTTAGCTGACTGTCCCCTTTGCTGGTTTTGATGAAGCAAGAAGCCATGGTGAAAAGGCCAGCAGCCAGACAGGAACTGAATCCTGTCAAAAGTCACATGTGAACTGCAGAGAATCCTTCCCTAATTCAGCCTTCAGGAGAGACCCCTGTCCTGGCAGACAGCTCGACTGCAACCTGGCAGGAGATCCTGAAGCAGGCACGGTGAAGCCACGCCCAGATTACAGCCACGCAAAGACTATGAGACAGTAAATGTGTACTGTTTTGAGATATTAAGATTGCGGTCATTTGTTACATAATAACAGAAAACTAATACATGTACATTTGGAACACAATCATTTATCATTGATATCACTTGAATTCTTTTAACAGATGTACATTAACAAAATGTTGGTTTTGTTACAAAACTTACTTGGAATGTAGAAAATATGCAAATATCCTTTGCTTCCCTTCAATTCTACACAGGGTTCACTTCTTATTGAAATAGGATATTTCATGTTATCTAAATGGAATGAAGATAATGTCAATGCATTATTTCCAATAAAGAAAAATATTCTGAAACTCACCCCCCCCCAAATGATGCCTTTAGTATTAAAATTGTTTAATGAGAAAAACTAATGATGGTTAAAAATATCTCCTTCTGCCCTAACCAGTTTGGCTCAATGGATAAAGTGTTGGCCTGCGGACTCAACGGTCCCAGGTTCGATTCTGGTCAAGGGCATGTACCTTGGTTGTGTGCACATCCCCAGTAGGGAGTGTGCAGGAGGCAGCTGATCGATGTTTCTCTCTCATCAATGTTTCTAATTCTCTATCCCTCTCCCTTCCTCTCTGTAAAAAAATCATTAAAACATATATATTAGAAAAATATATATATACTAGAGGCCCGGTGCACAAAAATTTGTGAACTCGGGGGGGAAATGGGGGTCCCTCAGCCTGGCCTGTGCCCTCTCACAGTCTGGGACCCCTCGGGAGATAATGCCCTGCTGGCTTAGGCCTGCTCCCGGGTGGCAGAGGGCAGGCCCAATCCCTAGGTGCAGCCCCTGGTCGGGCTCAGAGCAGGGCCATTGGGGAGTTGGGGCACTGCCCCCTGTCATGCACAGAGCAGGGCGGATCGGGAGGTTGCGATGCCACCCTCAGTCACGCTCAGGGTAGGGCCGATTGGGGGGTTGGGGCACCGCCCCCTGTCACACTCAGGGCAGGGTGGATCAGGGGGTTGGGGCGCCGCCCTTTATCACCCACAGAGCAGGGCCAATCAGTGGGTTGGGGCGCGCCACTCTCACACTCAGGGCAGGGCTGATGGGGAGGTTATGACTCTACCCGGTCACACACAGAGCAGGGCCCGTGGGGGGAGGGGGGGGTTTGAGCTTTAGCTCTGAGGCTCTAGCTCTTAGGCCTCCACTGCTGAAAGCAGGTATCTGGTTTGTCTGGGTTCTATAATCAAAACACTGTATCAACTCCAGCTCTGAGAACCCGGCTGGCTGAAAGCAGGTTTCTGGGGTTTTGTTTAGCTTCTATATTTGTAACAATGTTTCAAACTGCAAGCTCAGAGTCCGGCAAGGCAGGCGGGGAACGTTGGAGTCCTCCGTCACTGAAGCAAGCAAGCCCTATGTTAGTTTCAAGGTGCCTGGCTGCCGGCCGCCATCTTGGCTGGCAGTTAATTTGCATATCTCCCTGATTAGCCAATGGGAAGGGTAGCAGTCGTACGCCAATTACCATGTTTCTCTTTTATTAGATAGGATATCTTTTTCTCCAGAGGAGTGGCTCACAAGATGGCAGAGTAGGAAGTCCAACACCCTTCTTTCCCCCACAAACTTCGAATTCAACAACAATTCATGGACAAATTCCCTTTGTGAGAAGTCAGAAACTAATCGAAAGTTTCCTGTGACCCAGGAGAACTCGAATGCAGACTCGCTGAAGTTGGTAGGGAGATTCAGGACACCCTCTCAACAGAGACCCTGAGCCTGGCACAGCAAAGACAGGGAAAGAATCCCCTAGCCTCCAGCTTCACTCGGGAGGGAAGAGGTTAATTCATGCATCCAGATGCCCAAGTTTTCCAGGGGGGTGGTCCCCAAAAGGACTGAAGAAATAGAAAGTTGGAACAGGCCTAAAACTAGGATGGAACTTGAATAAGCAATCATTTGTACCATCATCTGCTTAGCCCACCTGATGTGGCTCAGTGGTTGAGGATTGGTTGACTTATGAACCAGGAAGTCACAGTTCGATTACCAATCAGGGCACATGACCAGGTTTCAGGCTTGATCCTCAATCAATGTTTCTTTCTCGCTCCCACCCCCTTCCTGACTCTCTAAAAATCAATACAAACAATTTTTTTTTTTTTTAATAAAAAGACAGCCCTACCTGGTTTGGCTCAGTGAATAGAGCGTCGGCCTGTGGACAGAAGGATTCAGGTTCGAATCCGGTTAGGGCACATGCCCGAGTTGCAGGCTCCATCCTCAAGTAGAGGATGTGCAGGAGGCAGCTGATCAATGATTCTCTCTCATCGTTGATGTTTCTACCTCTCCCTCTCCCTCTCCCTTCCTCTCTGAAATTAAAAAAATAATCAAAAGACAAATCAGCTCTATTGGTTGGGTGTCATCTATGCATCAAAAGGTTGCCGGTTCAATTCTCAGTCAGGGTATGTGTCTGGGTTACTGGCTAGATCGCCAATAGGGGATGTGCAGGACACAGCCCATTGATTCACTCTCATTTTGATGTTTCTCTCTCTCTCTCCCTCTCCCTTTCTCTAAAAATCAATAACATATATTTTTTAAAATGTATGTTATTGATTTTTTTACAGAGAGGAAGGGAGAGGGATAGAGAGTTAGAAACATTGATGAGAGAGAAACATTGTTCAGCTGCCTCCTGCACACCCCCTACTGGGGATGTGCCCACAACTAAGGTACATGCCCTTGACAGGAATCAAACCTGGGACCCTTCAGTCAGCAGGCCAACACTCTATCCACTGAGCCAAACCGGTTAGGGCCGTGGTCGGCAAACTGCAGCTCGCGAGCCACATGCAGCTCTTTGGCCCCTTGAATGTGGCTCTTCCTAAGCCTTAGGAGTACCCTAATTAAGTTAATAACATTGTACCTATCTATATAGTTTAAGTTTAAAAAATTTGGCTCTCAAAAGAAATTTCAATCGTTGTACTGTTGATATTTGACTCTGTTGACTAATGAGTTTGCCGGCCACTGGGTTAGGGCAATAAAAATATTTTTCAAAAGACAAATCAAATTATTGATACTAGGAGCTTAAAAGCTAATATGAAGTGGTATATAAACAAAGGCCCCCTGAAACTTAGCACAGAGAAGGTGGCATGATCAACGTGTTGGCCAAGTGGACGGAGGGGCCCTTTTGGAAGAGGGAATGGACACTGATCTTGGATGGAGAAATTCCAGAGCCAGGTTGAGAGGGAATTCAGCACAACCCACAAAGGTGAGCTTGGTCTTGCTCTCAGACCTGTCAATTATGCTAACTCCCCAGAAATAACGTCTATGAGCATTTGCCAGAGTATATTTCTTAGGATAGTCAACACACACTCCAAAAATGAAATGAAATAAAATGGTAAACCTGGAGATTAAATAGGTTTCTTCTTTGCACAACTTCTCAGAACTCAACAGACATTTGTAATTCTCCCCCAAATGGTTAAACCATAAATCCCCTTTCCCAAAAGAATCTCAAAGAACTAATATTTTGGCAAGCCTCTCTTTCAACCTTTCTGATATTATATCCAACCCATGGTGAGCAAGGAGGTGGAAAGCACCAAAGAAAGACAGTGGCCAGGCCGGGAAGCTGTGCTTTCAGACAAAGAGGTCTGGGTAGGGCAGTGGTCAGACCAGTCCATAGCATTAGGTATGGCTGATTTTTTAAAAAGTAGTCAAGACTGTTTCTATGTGGCTCTGTGTTAAAAATTTTACCTCAGATAGGTTCTAAAATCACTTTCATTTTACAGATTAAAATGCTGTAGTCCATCAAGAAATGTATTTTTTTGTTGTTGTTGCTGATCCAACAAAAAAGAAAAAGGAGGTATAATTCTTATTTATTCGCACCAAAAGGCTATTGTTGTGTTGCCTGCTGTCACTTTTTTATTTGACAGTCTAAGGGAAAAGAGGTCCCTGCCCCTGACTAAATAGCCAGGTGTCGCATGTTTTAAATATTGTGGCCCAGTGGTTGAAAATCGCTGGCCACAATAATCCGTTCCAGGAGGCACCTGGGACTGTCCTTGTCAAGAACTAGTCTTGGAGCTGGAGGCAGAAGCTCAGAAGCAGACAGTTCTGCCAAAACCGGGAGGAATCTGAAGCGAGGCTCAAGGTGGAGACAGTTAACCACAGGGAACAGAAGCACTTGGAGGTCAAGAACAACAGTTTAGAGACTGGTGAGGCCTGTGAAGGATCAAGATAACCCACACAGGGAAGTCATCAGCCGTCACTCTTGCTGCCG